CCCCACAAAAACCGGGGGGGGGGGGGGGGGGGGTAGTGGTGCAGCTGTACCCCCTGCCCTTTGATTCCTGGTCCACCTGAAGTGCCTGGCAGTGGCAGCAGCATTTCTATTCAAGTAGCACTGATGGAGTTAATTGTCTTCATGGGTTATTATAATCCACCTGATTCCTTCTAAATGCCATTCCAAAAGTATTAAAGGCCCTCTCTTCTTTTAAATGGTCTTGATGTTCACCTAATCAAACTAACTTTTCTTCTGCATTTCTTCCATCTGCTAACTGCTCCTGGTAGTGTGGCTCCTATTTCACAATCCTGCATACTGTTTTTAATTCTAGCTAAAAACATTAACTCAGGTGTGGAAATAACTTTCAGTGAAGCACTGGATACACTGTCAAGATGTTCAAAGGGGCTAGATTTTGTTTTATGAATCTGAAAAAGAAATGCCCATTTAATTCTAATGACTGCAGAACTAATGAAACAACATATTTTAATTCTTTTTGCCTGGCTTTTTTGTGCATTAATATGCTATGTCATATGTTATGTATATTCTCATACCTTTATATTTGTTTTTGCTCTGATCTTTAACTAAATAATGAGCCCTAGGCCACTAACTTATTTCTAAATCTTCTAGGTTCTTTTTAACTTCAAAAAATATGCTGCATTATATAGGATGATGTGCTATACTATCTGCACCCCTTTTTCAAAATCCTAGATCCGCCTATGCATACAACATCTAGACATCTGAGCAAGACCTCTCTCCTCTTCCACATTCTTCTCTGTGTTGATGTCAACAATGAAAATGCAAGAGGCAAGCATTTTTGTGGGTAATATCTTTTATTGGACCAACTGTATAGTTGGGAGGGACATAGGTACATTTAATTCCCATGCTCTGTAGAGTACAGTGGTACCTGAAATCTTACCTATATCCCTCCCAACTATATAGATGTTCCAATAAATGCTATCACCCATAAAAATCTTTGCCTCTCATTTTTCCTGGACGAATGTGTCTACAACATCAGCCCAAAACTACTACAATGAAAATGGGAATTCAGGGTCAGATTCTGAAAATGCAGGTGCTTGGGTCAGAAAGTAAAGGGCCCCATCCATAACATGACAATATTTGATACAATATCTGATGAACTATTTTCTTCTTGCACAAGGACTCTTACAGTATGGAGCTCCATGCTAGGTCCCTATTAGCCATATCATTAATCTAGCCATGCACCGGGAGGCAAAATACTAACATTGATAACACAGTAATACATTCAGACAATGCTTTAATCAAATGTGGCTCCAAAGTCACCAACAACAGGTGTCACTTCCCTTGCACCAGTTTTACCAGCTTCAGAAAATTATTGCTTAGTTCCACAGCATAAGAAAAACCACGAGCAGATCTAATCCCTTGAAAATAGTGAAGCTGCTGTTCAGCTACATGGATGTAACTGACTTCATTGGAGTTAGCCCAGATTTGCCTGAGTGTAAACGACAGGAGAATCTGACCCACTATCTAAAAATTATAAATGAAACAGTGACAGTCTTTAACTGCAGAAAAATTGCCAGGAGCAGTTATTTCCCACCACACTCATCAGTTTTGATTCATTCCTTGTAATCTGGATTTTCCATCTCTGCACTTTTCAAACCTTTGTCTCCTTTATCTCCTCCACATGCAATACTCTCTCTCACTCACCACATGATTTTCTTACAAATGCTGTTACAGGAATAACAATCTTTGCTCTCAAATGAAAATCAAGCACTCTAATGCAGTCCCAGGGATCTTTCTTGCTATTTAATTTATAAACTCCTTTGAGCTGTGCTCTCGCAGCTGATGATATTAGCTAGTACTAGGTCTGGGCTGAATTACAGTTTCTTGTGCTTAGTCAAGGGCTATGCATTATTGTAGTGCTGTTTTTCATGTAAGCATTCTTAAGCCTGTAACAAGTTTTGAGCACATAATACATAGATACTTTTGTTGCAAAGAGTGGAGTCCAGCCTTTACAACATTTGTCCAGTTGGTGAGAGCCACCCTAGTTGAGGAATATATGGATAAATATTCACATCTTTTTTTATTAAAAAGAACTACTTGTAGTCATGCTCTCGACTTCCACCTGCAATAGCAGGATTATTCCAGCTTCATGTGATCTTTAGGATGCATAAAGAGTATTACTGATTTAAAAGCTGGTGTTAAAAATAAAAATGTACAAATTTACAACAGTCACAAATATTTATATGGTTTTTTAAGAAAAAACACAGCTTCTATGTTCTGCATTCCTCCAGATTCTTCTAGGTTCAGCAGCCGAACCAAAACAATTTGGTGCAGGAAATTCACTTCAGATTGAACTGAATTTAAAACATTCCATTTTTCTTCCCAAAAGAAAAATAATGTGTTTTTTCTGTGTGTATTGAATGAAATATTCCATTCAGCCCAAAGCAAACACTTTGTCTGGGGGTACTTCTAAGAAAAAAAAAAAAAATCAGTAGAAATGAAAGGCTACATTCACAAAAAAAATTGTTTCCAAGTGATAGTCTTTCCACTAGGATCCATCCGTCTTCAGCCTCAAGGGCATTCCAGCCTATACATCTCAGGAAAGTGTCCTAGAAACCTGACTACTTTAGGCTGAAATGCTCTCAGTGTCTTTTGTTGATGCTGTCCTACTTTGTATAACTAGAAGTTTATTAGCACAAGGAGCAGTAACCTGGTAGCCCAGCTTCCCAGTGTGTCGTAAGCATCAAGCTTCTTCCTTGCCTCACAGTGGAACAGCTGAAAAGGTGGCCTTAAGAAGAATACATTTGCAGCCTGACAGGTAAAGCAGTAACCTGAGAAGTTTGAGGTTAAAGTTTAAATCTTCTCTCTTTCTGACCCAGGACAGATACTTCTAGAAAATCATAGAAAAATGGGGTTTGGAAGGGACCTCAGGAGGTCATCTAGTCTAACCCCCTTCTAAAAGCAGGGCCATCCCCAACTAGCTCATCCCAGCCAAGGCTTTGTTTAGCTGGGTCTTAAAAACCACAAGGATGGAGAGTCCATCACCTCTCTGAGTAACTTGTTCCAGTGCTTTACTACTTTCCTTGAGAGAAAGTTTTTCCTAATATCTAACCCAAACTTCTGTTGCCGCAAGTTGAGACTATTGCTCCTTGTTCTGCCATCTGACACCACTAAGAACAGGCCAGCTCCATCGTCTTTGGAACTACCCTTCAGGTACTTGAAGGCTGCTATTAAATCCCCTCTTATTATTCTTGTCTCCAAACCAAATAAATCCAGTTCCCTTAGCATCTCCACATAAGTCATGTGGGTCCCCCAGTCTACTAACCATTTTCATTGCTCTCTGTTGGACTCCCTCTCATCCTTTCTGCAGTGGGTACCCCAAAACTGGACACAGTACTCCAGATATGGCCTTACCAGTGCCAAATAGAAGGGAAGAATCACCTCCCTTAGTCTGCTGACAATGCTGCTACTAATGCAGCCCAGTATGCTGTTAGCCTTCTTGCAACAAGGGCACAACGTTGGCTCATATTCAGCTTATTGTCCATTGTAACCCCCAGATCCTTTTCTGCAGGAGCTGCTGCCCAGCCAGTCAGCCCCCAGCCTGTACTGGTACATGGGCTTCTTCCATCCTAAGTGCAGGACTTTGCACTAGTCCTTATTGAACCTTATGAGATTTCTTTTGGTCCAATCCTCCAATTCTTCTAGGTCTCTCTTATCTTAGCCCTACCTTTCAGTATATCTGCTACTCCCCACAGGTTGGTGTCACTGCAAACTTGCTGGGGGTGTACCACATCCCATCTTCCAGGCTGTCAATGAAGATATTGAACAAAACTGGTCCCAGGACCGACTCCTGGGGCACTCCGCTTGATACCAGCTGCCAACTAGACATCATGCCATTGACTACTACCCGCTGAGCCCAATGAGCCAGCCAGTTTTCTATTCACCTTACAGCTCATTCATTCAACCTGAACTTCCTTAGCTTGCTTGCAAGAATGTTGTGGGAGACAGTATCAAAAGCCTTGCTAAAGTAAAGGGATATCACTGCTTTTTCCACATCCACAGAACCAGTCATCTCATCATAGTAGGCAATCAGGTTGGTCAGGTGTTACTTGCCCTTGGTGACCAGTCTGTAGTTTTCTGGATCTTCTTTCTTCCCTTTCTTAAAGATAGGCATTATATTTGCCTTTTCCAATCATCTGGGACCTCTTCCAATAGCCACAAGTTTTCAAAAATAGTGGCTAGTGGCTCTGCAATCACATTGGTTAACTCCCTTAGCACCCTTGGATGCATCACGTCTAGTCCCATGAACTCGTACATGTCCAGTTTTTCTAAACAGTCCCGAATCTGTTCTGTTGCCACTGTTGTCTGGTCACCTCCTCCCCAAACAGTCATGCCAAGTGCAGTAGTGTGGGAGCTAACTTTGCCTGTGAAGACTAAGGTGAAAAAGGCATTGAGTACTTTAGCCTTTTCTGTATCCTCTGTAACTAGGTTGCCTGCCCCTTTCAGTAAGGGACTCACACGTTCCCTGATCTTCTTCTTGCTGTTGATATACTTGTAGAAGCCCTTTTTGTTACCCTTCATGTCTCTTGCTAGTTGCAACTCCAATTGCACTTTGGCTTTCCTGATTTCATCCCTGCATGCCCAACCAATACTCTTGTACTCCCCCCTAGTCACTTGTCCAAGTTTCTACTTCATGTAAGCTTACTTTTTTGTGTTTTAGTTTACTGAAGAGTTCCCCACTAACCCAAGCTGGACTTCTGCCATACTTGCTAGTCTTCCTGCACATCAGGATGGTTTGTTCCTGCACCCTCAGTAAGATATTTAAAAAATACACCCAGCTCTCCTGGATTTTTTTTCCCCTCAGAGTGGCCTCCCAGGGGATCCTGCCAATCAGTTTCCTGAGGGAGTCAAAGTTGCTTCTCTGAAGTCCAGGGTCCTTACTCTGCTGCTCTCCTTCCTTTCTTTCCTCAGGATCCTGAACTCAATCATCTTGTGGTTGCTGCTGCCCACACTCCCATCCACTACTACATTCCCCACCAGTTCTCCCCTGTTTGTGAGCAGCAGGTTAAGAAGAGCACAGCCTCTACTTGGCCTATCCAGCACTTGCACCAAGAAGCTGTCCCCAACACTCTCCAAAGGCTTCCTGGATTGCCTGTGCACCAATGTATTGTCCTCCCAGCAGATGTCACGGTGATTGAAGTCCCCCATAAGAACCAGAACCTGTGATCAGGAAACTTTAGTTAGCTGTTTGAAGAAAGTCTCATCCACTTCACCCTCCTGGTCTGGTGGCTCATAACAGACCCCTACCACAACATCATCCTTGTTGCTCTCCTCTCTGACCCTAACCCAGACTTTTAACAGGACTATCTCTAGTTCCATACTGGAGCTCTGAGCAATCATCCAGCTCTTTTACATAAAGACTAACTCCTGTTCTTTTTTTCCCTTGCCTTTCTTTCCTGAAGAATTTGTACTCATCCATGACAGTGCTCCAGTCCTGTGAGCTATCCCACCAAGTCTCTGTTATTCCAATGACATCATAGTTCCGTCACTGTGCAAGCACTTCCATTTTCACCTACTTGTTTTCCAGGCTCTATGCAGTCATGTAGAGACACTTGAAGTAACTAGGCGATTGTCCTACTTTCTCAGGAAGAATGAGAAGGCCTCCTCTGTTGCCCACTCTTGTTTGTGCTTCCTCCAGTTCACCCACTTCCCCACTTACCTCAAGGCTTTGGTCCCCATCCCCCAGTGAACCTAATATAAAGCCCTCCTCACTAGGTTAGCAAGCCTGTCTGTGACAATGTACCTCCCTCTCTTCAGTAGGTGGATCCCATCTCTTCCTAGTAATCCTTCTTGAAATAACATCCCAAGGTCAAAGAAGCCAAAGCCCTGCTGGCAGCATCAACTGCGTAGGCATACGCTGATCTGCACGATGCGTCTGCTCCTGCCCAGGCCCTTCCCTTTCATTGGAAGGATCCAGGAGACCACCTGAGCCCTCCCAGTACAGATTTGCGCCAGTCTGTCCCTCCTCTCAAATACACTAACTATCAGTATCCTTTAAGGGCCTGGGGGTGTTCTGGAAGACCTACGGGAAATCAAATCAGTGTATGTTAAACCCCTTGCAGAGTCAGTATAAAGTGACTTTGGATCACTGCAGTTTTTCCTGTGGAAGATTGAGAGAATTCTTCTTGCACACAGAATCACAAGATTGGAAAGGATCTCAAGGGTGATGCAGTCTAAATCTGCTGCCCAGATTTAGGGTTTGATTTTCCTAAACCATCTCATACACTTTCTTATCCAGCCTTTTATCTCCAATGAAGGAGATACTAAGGACACATCCTGGCACAGAGGATTTGCTTCATTTGGTGATATCTATTTCAACCCAACATTAGAAGGCAAACATGAAGGCACAAGAAAGTGGGAACATGCCTGGATTTGAGTTCTGGATCAACTCCTGGGTTCAAAAATTTACCTGGAAATCTTTAAAAAAAAAAAAAAAAATAGGCTGTCTCAAATAAGTCAGACCAGAAATACTACATTTAGCCTTTCCTGGTATAATAGCAGTTTTGATTCAAAATAAGTTAGTCTTGCTCTGGTGGTTTTTGTTAATTTTAAGACAGACCCTGCACATCTGAAGAGTTATTTGAGAAAAAGGAGCTAAATAGAGGAGGTAGAGAAGTATTGATGGATATCAATATTAACTATATCAGCAATCTGGAAGCAAAGGAGTGGTTTTGATTCAGGACAAAAATGAAAAAGTGAAGGAGGAATGACAGGAGTACAGGAAAAAAAAAAAAGGACAAAACACTCTTGGATGGGTTTCAATATATAGTATCAAAACTAATATAAACTATACTCATGGTACATTTTTATTACTACAAGCATCAGCTGGGTAATCATAGATTTAATAGATTTCACAGATTTTTAGGCTTGGAAGGGACCTCAGTAGATCATTGAGTCTGACCCCCTGCCCTGGGCAGGAAAGAGTGCTGCAGTTAGATGACCCCAGCCAGGGGCTTGTCCAGTCTCCTCTTAAAGACTCCCCGGGTAGGGGAGAGCACCACCTCCCTTGGAAGCCTATTCCAGATTCTGGTAACCCTTACCATGAAGAAGCCCTTCCTGATGTCCAATCTAAATCTGCTCTCTGTCAGTTTGTAGCCATTGTTTCTAGTTACCCCAAGGGGTCCCCTGGTAAACAGAGTATCTTCTATTCTTTGCCCTCCCCTGCAATGAATTTGTAGACAGGCACAAGATCTCCTCTCTGCCTTCTCTTGCGGAGGCTGAAGAGATCCAGGTCCCTCAAACTCTCCCTGTAGGGCCTTACTTGCAGGCTCCTAACCATACAAGTAGCCCTCCTCTGGACCCTCTCAAGGTTATCCACATCCTTTTTGATGTAAGACAGCCAAAATTGGCTGCAGTACTCCAGCTGCGGCCTTATCAATGTCACATAGAGGGGAAGTATCACCTTAGACCTGTTTGTGCAGCACCTGCTAATGCATAATAAAGTGTGGTTAGCTTTACTTATGACTTCATCACACTGACGACTCATGTTCGTTTTGGAGTCTACTATGGCTCCAAGATTCTTTTCTGCTGCTGTGCTACTTAGACGGTCATCTCTCAATCTGTATATGTGTTGGAGATTCTTCCTCCCTAGGTACAGCACTTTGCACTTTTCTTCGTTAAAATGCATCCTGTCCTGTTCTGCCCATTTTTCCAACCTCTCCAAATCTGTCTGAATTCGTTCCCTGCCCAACCACACGTCTACTTTGCCCCATAATTTGGTGTTGTCTACAAATTTAGACAGAGTGGTCTCCATGCCCTCATCCAAGTCACTGATGAAGATATTGAACAGCACTGGTCCAAGGACCAAACCTTGGGGGACCCCACTGCCCACATCTTTCCAGCTCGATAACAACCCCTCCACCACCACTCTCTGGGTGCATCCCATAAGCCAATTCACCACCCACCTCACTGTGTAATCATCTACATCACAGCCACTTAGTTTATTTATAAGAATGGGATGAAACACCATATCAAAGGCCTTTTTAAAATTCAAGTAAATGACATCTACCTCAACTTCTGCATCTAAGCATTTTGTGACCTGGTCATAAAAAGACACAAGGCTAGTCAAGCAGGATCTACCAGCTATGAATCTATGCTGGTTGCCCTTCAGCATTATCTTTCCTGCTGGACTCCCACAAATGTGTTCCTTAATAATTTTTCCAAGGTATTCCCAAGGACAGAGGCGAGACTAACTGGCCTGCAGTTACCTGGATCCTGCTTTCTTAAAAATAGGGACTACATTGGCCCTTTTCCAGTCATCTGGGACCTATCCTGAGCACCACAAGTGCTCAAACAGTCTTGCCAGTGGTTCTGCTATGACACTGGTTAATTCCCTCAGCACCCTAGGATGAAGATCATCTAGGCCTGCTGACTTAAACATGTCCAGCCCCTCCAAATGTCCCTTCACTAGGTCGGTGCTAACTGTTGGTGGGCTGGTGGCCCTCTTGTGCCTGTTTATAATCCAACTGGAAGATTGGTCTTAATCTGTGTTCAGGAATACAGATGCAAAAACCTCACTGAAGAGCTCAGCTTTGTTGCTCCTATCTGTCACCAGTAGCTCTAGTCTGGCCCATAGGGGTCCTATGTTGCTGTGTGCCATTTTTTGCTCCCTATACACCCAAAGGACTTTTTGCTGTCTTTAATTTTAGATGCCAGACTGTGTTCCATTGCTGCTTTGGCCTTTCTAACTGACTCTCTGCAAGTGCGAACCAAGTAGGTTTACTCCTTCTTGGTGGATACCCCCTTCTTCCAGTCTTTTTGCCTTCTTTTTTGCCCCTAGAGTTTTCTGGATTTCCCTGTTCATCCAAGAGGGTTTTTTGTCCTCTTTGCCCTCCTTTATGTGCAATGGGATTGTTTCCTTGAGGAACGACCACTGTTCCTGGACTCCCATCTCACCAATGCTCCTGTCCTTCAGTGCCTCTCTTACTAATCTCCTGACTTCATTGAAGTTAGCCTTACAAATGTGCAAAATTTTCTAGACTGGGTAGTGGGAAAAACTAATAGAGATATTTGAAGAGACTAGAAAATAAACAAGCAGCTTAATTTTGAAATAATGCAGGCAAATACATTTAATGGGAAGTACACATTTCTATGCATGAACACTTCCCAATTCCCTCTCCATATTAAGTCTGAGAAAGAACCCCAGCCCTTCAGTACAGCATGGATTATAGGTAACTACTCTTCATTCACTTTCTGACCATGACAATGGCTGACATCAAGAAGGGTAGATCTGGCACCATGTTTGAACTTTTTTTGCATTTCTTTATTTCAAACCATATTTGTGAAGTGGAAATGCCCTGCTTCTGCTGTTCAAAAGGGAAATCTTTGTTTTCTCTCTCAGCAACAAGATGGATTTAAAGGTGCTGAATAGTTCCTGAAATAATAATGACCCCAGAGCTGCAAATTATACTTTGCTTTCCTGTTGAGAACTGTATATACTGAAATTTGTGAAACCTTTACTGTGTATGAAACTACAGAATAAATTTTATTCTAAGTGAGCACAGTAGGCTACTTGTAAAAAAAAAAAATCAAG